TCCTAAGTCTTTCAGAATTGTTTGTCTTTGCAATATTGTTTTTGTTGTATAAATTGTTCTGACTCTGTTCAGTTTACTCATGCAGGTCTTCCCAGGTTTCTCTGAAACCATCTCCCCCTTCACCATTTCTTATAGCACAATAGTATTCCCTCATGTTAATTTACAAACATAACCTGTTCCTACTCTATCTCATTCTTACAGAGACCCACCACCAGAGCATTTTAATTATACACAGTGCCTCCTCATGTTTGGGCCAGAGCCAAGTCAGCCTGTTGATCTCTATAATATGCCTTGGGATCTCAGACAACAGAGAAAATGTAGAGATTCACAGCCAGCACATCACTTGTCTGAAGGATTTTATTGAGGGAGGTTCATTGCCTAGCAGTGGTATCACTGCAGGGGAACATGGAAAGGGGGAAAAAAATGAAATTCACTGTCAGAAACACTGGGCAAAATCCTGCTATGTAAATTTGGTGTCCAAGAAAAACCTTAAGTGAACAATGGAGAACAACTCCAAATAAACTGAATGGCAGCTTGGGTGATGGGCCAGTTAATGAAGTAGCCCTGGAGAATGATTAGGGAACTATGGAGATGATATGCCACAACCACTACTTCACATAGGGAAGTTAGTCATGCTTTCTGGCCAAAAAAAAAAAAAAAGGACAGAAGTGATAGAAAAATCGGAAGACGCTCTCCTAGAAGGACCATCTACTCATTGTCAATGAACAGATAGCAACAGATGAAGAATCTAGGTCTAGATCTGGAAGAAGATGAAGATGCATGTTGGTGCCCTCTAGGAGATTTGGCCTATTGAGACTGTCCTGGGCTGAGTAAGCTCCATTGAGACAGTGCAGGAGGGCTGAATTCAGGGGTTGCCCCTTTCCTGCCTAATAATCTATACGGCTACCTATAGGACTTGACTCACTATGAACTAGGGGCAGTACCAGACATCCCGCAACATCTATCAATCCAGGAATGGAGCTACAATCCAGGACTGATCTGAGATTGCCAAAGGTATAGAACAGATATCTAAAATCAATCAATCAACAAGCGTTTATTAAGTGCCTACTGTGTGCCAGGCACTGGGAAGAGAAAAACAAGCAAGCAAACAAACAAACAACCAACACAAAAAACAGCCCCTACTCTCATAGGGTTTACAGACTATCTAGTTAGTGGTCAGGCATAGGATGCTTCCAAGATGATGATCAAGGAAATTATGAATGTAGCCAGCAAGTACCCACTGAATGTAACTGTAGTGAGACTCTGGACTCACTCTCCTACATCTCTCTTCTTAGAGTTCTAGGGGACCCCTGAAGGATTGGAGGTGTTTTTCTCTAATTTTATTGGCTTGAGCCCCCATTCTGGTGTCTTCTCCCAATAGAAATCTCCAGTGATTAGCACCCCATTAGCATTTAACCAATTTACATCAATTAGCTCTTTCAAAGGGATATTTGCTGAGAAGACTTAGGGGGGAGAGAAATGGAAACATCCCCCTGACCTAAAGGCACACTCTCCACTATACTGTCTTAGTCCATGGAGAAAGTGGGCTTAAACGTAAAAGTGATTTCTAAAAAGCATTTGTCCCACCAACTTCATTTGCAAATGTCACAGAACTGACTCATCTTTGCTACTGCTGGTTTGTTGTTTAGTGGTGTCTGACTCTTTGCGACCCTATCTGGGGTTTTCTTGGCAAAGATACTAGTGTGGTTTGCCGTTTCCTTCTCAAGCTCTTTACAGATGAGGAAACTGAGGGAAACAAGGTGAAGTAACTTGCTCAAAGTCACAGAGCTAGTAAGTGTCTGAGGTCAGATTTGAACTCAGAGATTCTAAGCCCAGTGCTTAATCCATTGTGCCACCTAGCTGCCCCTAGCTGCTACTGCTGGGCTTGGGTCAAGCAGGTCTCTTCCGGGTTTCAGCTACCACCTAACCAGCGTTCTACCTCCTGCAGATCCTGGCATGGACTCCAATTCCCAGACTTCTGGTGGTCATTATACTTCTCTTTCAAAATTCACAAGATCATAGCCATCTCCAATACTCCCTTACATATAAGTTAGAAGAATAGACCCAACAGCAATGTAAGCAACAGCCAGGCTCTGCACCCTCACAGTAGCAGTTCCAGGGAAGAGATAAAGGCCCAAGGCCCCCTTCCCACTGAAGGCTTATGATAGCTCTTGCCTCCTCACGCAGACACAGCCAGGGAGGAAAGAGAAGGAGGCTCATTTGGGCCAGGTTGTGCCTTTTCCAGTAGGGTTTTTTGTTTGTTTTTTAGTGAGGCAATCAGGGTTAAGTGACTTGCCCAGGGTCACACAGCTAATAAGTGTCAAGTGTCTGTGGCCAGATTTGAACTCAGGTCCTCTTGACTCCAAGGCTGGAGCTCTATCCACTGTGCCTGCTAGCTGCCCCCAGGTTGTGCCTTTTGAATGAACCCCATTCCCAACTCAATAGCTAATCAGAAGTCCATTTTTTCTTTAACTACATTAGAGCTCTGAGCATTCTGTGATGCTCATATGAGGATGACATAGCCATGCATTCTTATAAGGGTGGGGTTTGACCAGTCTCTGTTGCATGTGTAATGATACTTTGCATGTAATGCTAACATGTGCCACTACGAGCTATATATTTGCATGTGCTATGTTTGATTTTCTGTATCCAACTCTGTGATGTGATGTTGCATATATTCTTAGGTGACTTGCATGTGACCTATGTATCTGAGGTGATTTGCATGCGACTTTACTATGTGTAAACTAATGGATGTCGATTATAATACTCAGTATTATTTACTAGAAACTTATTACCAGGAGGAAGATGTAGCAGAGGCTGAATGAGAGGAAGCATCCACTGTGTACTACATAGCGGGCACATGCCTGTCTGATCAGAAACTACATTTCCCACAAACACTGAGCCTAATAAAGCATGTTTGTAGGTAGGTTGAAACATCTATATCTTCTATGTTTATGTAGATACATATTTTTTATTCTGAACTTAACAACTGCTAAAGTGAACATTTCTATACATTTAGTAGAACATAAGAGGATTGCATATACTCTATGGATGTCTCTTATCTAGAGCTTGTTTTTCTTTTTTGTGTCTAATGTATTCAACATGCAATTTTTAAAGCTATCCTGTTTATGATTCCTTCTGTTCTCCTTTGTGCATTAAAAATACTTCGATGACTCTCCTTTCTTTTCATTTCATTTCTCTTTCTTCTTCTTCCTCCTCCTCTTCCTCCCCCTCCTTCTCCTCCTTCTTCTTCTTCTTCTTCCTCTTCCTCCTCCTTCTTTTTTTGGTCAGCTCTATCCCTAGATTCCTCCTCCCTCTCAGTTCTCTTGATCCCCAATTAAGTAAAAAAAAAAAAAGATAAAATCCTCGTAGGCAAAGGAGGCAAAGGAGGAGGGAAAATGCCAAGTCACTTTGCTGGCTGAGTTACAAGGAGAATGTGGGTGAGTAGAGCTGGGGAAGCTGCCATGATCTACCCACGTAGAGGCTACAGAGAACCACTATAGTTGGGAACAAAGTCCAGGAGCTCTGGACCTGTGTAGTGACAAAATACTGCCAATGCTGGGTGGGAGCAAGTGGGAAGAGTGGATTGACTTGATCATCACACAAGCAGAAGAAACTTTATTTAGAAGTACTCTAGATCTATGCCGACTTTGTCCTCCTTTCCTCATTTAGAAACAGGAACTGTGGAAGGATAGAGGATTCTTCCCCAGATTATGCAGCATTTTCTTTGAGGTATAGCTGTTGAGAATACTTCTATTTCTTTGTATTTCCATTTCCATTTCAATCAAATGTTCTTTTTTTTCTGTGCTATTGAGTTCTCTTAGCATAATAGTCATTGAATAGCTAGATCTTGATGACTAGCCATAAGTTGGGCTGCAGAAGCTGGGTGGGGGCTTGAGCCAGGCAAATGCTTTTTGAGAAGCACCTCCTCCTAGGAGGGATGCTCTGACAGCAGATTCACACACAATACATGCCAGGGTGTTGTTTGTTTGTTTGTTTTGCTAGGAGCAAGTATCCTGACCTCTCTGAGCTTTAGTTTCCCTGCCTGTAAAATCAGGATAAGCATTGTATAGTGTCTGCCTTATAGAGCTATTGCCAGTGAGATAATGAGATTTATGTAAAAGACTTTGTAAATTTTAAAGCATGATATAGCAGCCCGTCTTAAACCGTGGACTGCGACCCCATGAGGTCACAAAAGTTTGGCAACAGTAAAAGGTTTCTGAATGTGCAATAACCAAAAATTAATTAAAAACCAAACGTGTAATGAATCCGAGGTGTTTTTGGCAGCGCTTGTTGCATTTCACAACTTCACTGAAGCCTTGGTTCTGAACACAAAGCATGTGCACTTTGCACTGCGCATGCCCTCAGGCCACGTAAAGCCAACCAACATTGCCGAAATTCAGAATATCCTCCATATTTGGAATATTCCATATAATAGGGATAACATATTTTGTATTATACATAGGGATATGTGTTACATTGTATCATAGGGACATATTATACACAGAGATATATTATGTAATAGGGACATGTTATATATTAGGGTATACTATGTATTATATAACAGAGATCCATATCATATATCATAGGGATGTATGGGTGGTCAGGGAGTACTAGTAGCTCTGGTGTGAGGGCTGCCAAGCCCTTTTCAGGGCTGCTCATCCACATTTGGGGTCCACCTGCCACTCAACTCTCACCTGTGGCTCCAAGAAGCTGTAGCTTGTGTAGTGGCCACACCCCAGTAAAACCCTCTCAGCAGATGGGCTAACCCAGGTTGAGGTTAACCGATAGGTCCCCATTGGTGAGTTAGGGGAGTGCCAACCCCAAGCATGTGAAGACTTACAAGGTGAAATAGGCTAATGTGAACAATTTGTTTCAACAGGCCTGTTGAGGGCCAGCTCTGAGGAGTCAGAGGATTCAGGCCAACCCAGGTATTCCCTGTAGATTGTCCTCTATCCAATGGCTATGTGAACTCAGGATGTTGGCTCACCGCTCCTCTGTTCTGTCTCTTGAGAATAGGAGGTCCTTGGAGATTACAAGGAAGCAAGGAAACGGTTTGTTACTTTGGGTGATGTTCCCATGAGAACTATGCTTGCTGTTGCCCTTTGAGATTACAATGTTGCTGTAGTAAAAAGTATATAAACCCTTTCCCTTGGATTAATAATCAGAGTTTGTTTTTTACATCTCCCACCTGGCCCGCATGATTCTTTCTTTTTTCACACTCAGTTGGCATTAGACTATGGCTGTGGACTCAAGTGGCACCCGAAAAGGGACCTGAAAGAGGGGCTTCCCCTGGCAGAGTGGCCCTGGACAAGGTGGGCTGTTTGGCTAACAGCCCTAGAAAAGGAGCTCCGGTCGTCAAGAAAGGATGGCTAACAAGGTAGGGTGATAATTTTCCACATATAGTTTCATTCACCAGGTTTAGTGGGGATTAGAGACACAGATCGGCATGTGTGTTTTACTTTCACTTTGAATTGAAGTGCCTTGTGATATTCAGTTCACAGTGAAGGTGAAATTACCTGGGCTGAATAAATGTATAGGAAAATATAACTAGTTAAGATGGGACAGAGTTCATCGACTGAAAAGAGAGATAGGGAATATTATTTGAAAGTGTTAAAATCATTAGTAAGAGACAGGGGATTGTTGATCACTTCTGAACAGTTGGTTGAATTCTTAGATTCAGTCGAACAACGCTGTCCTTGGTTCCCTAAGGAAGGGACAAAGATGTAGAAAAATGGATCAAATTCAGTTTAAAAATGGAGAGCAACACCTTCAAGCTTTTTTTCCTCTCATTTGGTTAAAGTGTGTTCTCCCTGGAAAAAACTTATTCTCCAAAACCTTAAGGAAAATTTTGCCCAGTTTCCATAACATCTGGAAGACCATAAAAAGAAAATAAAAATAAAAATAAATATTATTTGATTTGTGCAAGGAATTTCTAACAAACCCCTCTGAGCTTTTGGACTTTCCCAGTCATTATCATGTTATCTGTTCTGTGTGTGTCCGTGTGGTATGAGTGAGCATGTGTGTGTGTAATCTGAAACCTTTTGCAGTCAAGTAGCTGGAATGTGGCTTTCTTTCTCTCTCTCTCTTCCCGCCTTGACAACAGCAGCCTCAGAGGAGCGCGTGGTTGGAAAGATAAGAAAAGCAAAGTTGTTGGAAAATTTTCTCTTCCTCTCTTCCGCATTCAGCTTTGGCCGGGTTGTAGCGCCCAACTTGGCTGGGGCTGGGATGCGGGAGAGAGTACGAGAAAAAGGAAAGGAGGGTGAATTTTCTCCCCTCAAATCAAAAAGAAAAGTTTTTATGTATCAGAACACAAACAAAGGTAATTTGGGGGCTGCATTGAGGGTGGCAGCTTGTTGGGATGGCTGGGTTCAGTGGCTACCAAGGAAATGAAATGTAATGTTCAGAATTTATTACACTGTTTGGCACTAAGGTAAATTGGGAAAATTTAAGGATCTGAAATTTGTTACCTCAGTTTATCTCACATGATTGGAAGGTACCTAACACAGTGCCTGGTAGAGGGCAAACACTGTAAATGTTAACTACTGTTATTAGTTCCTTAATTAGATGTGACCAGTATGCAATGTCAATGGTGAAGAGATGCCTGATTTTCTGTGTAAGGAAATCTGGAAATACATTCAACAGAGTTGGAGTCACCAGACTGATAATGTGTTTGTTTCAAGTTTTAAAAATCTAGTATTGTTTCAAATTGGTAAACTTTTGTATTGTTATGTCAAGCAGTTTTTCATAATTTGGATGTTATTACAATATGAACCTAAAGAAACTAAAGGACAGTGGGGAAATTGTGTAAAATCAGTTATATTACTTTGTCAGCCCTGCTAACCCTGTCTTATAATGTTTTATAACTGCCATTTAGAAAACTAGGTATTTCCACCTTTACCCGTAATTAAAGAAGGGGTTATAGCTAAAACAATTTGACTATCACTTATGAAAGTTATAAGATTGTTAATTAAGTTATTTGAAGTTACTGTTTTAATGTTAAAAACTAGAATTTTTAATTACTTATGAGTGAAAAGGAGGGGCACAAGGCAATTCTCTTTACTCTGTAAACTTGCCAAGGTCCCTAGAAACCATCTATGTGGGCAAGGTCATCTGCCCTGAGAAAAGAACTTGTTTGCATTATAGAGTTCCTAAACAATTAATTTGGCTTACTGAGAAGTTACAACTTTATGTACAATAGATAGAAATGATTTCAAATAATTGGCTTTTACACCAGAACAAGTTTAAATTTGAGAAAAAAGGATGTTAAGTGAAATCTCTTATATATGTGAGTCCTACTAAATCTTTAGTACTTATTACAACTCCATGAGAATAAAATTGACTGTATCTGGCATTAAGTCATGATTAGTGAAACTTGCTGTTTGCAGTAAAAGACTCTTAGGACTATAACTAATTTTGTTTTGAGTTTGAATTTGGGTATAGTTGTCTCCATTAAATCATCATTTGGCGTTTCCCTGTTGTGTTCCTTTAAGAAGGAATGTTTCCCACCATGTGCCAAAATTTTGTTCATAACACTATCAAACCTGTTAGGCAGAGATATTCCCAGACAAAAATAATTCATTATATGAATAATATATTTTGCAGTTGTTCTACTACTAGTGAACTCTCCTTATTAATGCCTGAGCTTTAACAAGCCCTTCAGTCTCATAGATTTGTAATTCCCCCTGAAAAGGTACAAAAGAAATCATCCTGTTGGCATGTTGTTTCATAGTCTGCAATTAGACCCCCAAAATATTACAAATCAGGCAAGATTCCTTAAAAACTCTTAATAATTTTCAAAAAAATTCTTAAAGATATTAATTATCTTTAGCCTGCCTAGTAGATCACCACTAATCAATTATTTAATCTTTTTACCACCCTCAGCACCTCACCAAGAATATTTACACCTCAAACAAAAGATGAATTTAAACTAGTAGAATAAAAGATAGTTGAAACCCAATTAATTCCCCTTAATTTGTGGGGGTGCGATATTTTATATCAAATGGGAGCTGTTATTTTCTTCTCCCCCCCCCCATCCATAAAGCTGATAAAATACAATAGAAATCTGATAAACCTGTTTGGGTGGAACAGTGGCTTTTGACAAAGGAGAAGCTTTTTGCGTTAACACAATTAGTCGAACAACAACTTTTACAAGGCTGCCACTTAACTTTTTATTAAGCTTTTATTGAGCCTTTTATTAACTATATTCTGCCAATACAACAACCTTAATTGTAGAGAGGATAACATTTTGTGACTATTTTGGAAAAAATGGAACTCCTGCAGTATTAGAAACATAGTATAAAAAATAGTATAATTTTTTTTGAAAAGACTGTTCCAAATGTATCACTTTTATTAACCCTCCTTCTTTTGCCATTAATCCCAGAGGCTTTTCTCCCAAACATATTTGACAAATGGATGTAACTTATATGCTTTCTTTTGAAAAGCTTTCTTATATTCATGTTATAATCGATACTTTTCTTCTTTCATTTTTGCCACTTTACAAACAAGTAGAACAATTAAACATGTAATCAATCATATTTTACAAGCCTTCAAAGTTAAGGGTGTACTTAAACAAATTAAAACAGATAATGCTCCTGCTTACATTACCAAAACATTTTCTTCCTTTTATGCTTTTTATAACATTTCTCTGATTGCAGGCACTTTATATAATTAAAAACAAAGATATTAAAACTATTGTTAAAAAAAAAAGGGGGGCATCTGGGCTATTACCCCTCATTGACAATTGGCTATTAATTTTAAAAATATTAACAAAGATGGGTACACTCCAGCTGAAAAACATCTTAAGAAAAATAAACATCCAGAGGCCTGGATCCATTACTAACGAGGGGACGAGGGCATGCTTGTGTTTTTTCAGAAAACTTTGGTAAACCTGTCTGGATACCGGAGAAAAATGTCAAAGCATGTACCACAACTCACAACTCCAATGCAAAGTATGAGGATTTGGGGAAAGCACAGAAGGAGCTGATCTACAGATGAGTCACCTTCCCATATGGGGTCAAGTGAAAGCTCCCTCTCATCGAGTGATGAAAGACTCTTGAACTTGTAATTGTAGCAATAGTAGCTTTACTTTCTGCTCAAGTGTGTAATGTGGAGAGTGCTTGCCATTGGACTTGTTTTCCTTTTCCACCCTGGTTGCAATCCCTCACATATATGGGCAAATTGGGAACTATATATACTAATAACACCGGTGTATTCAGAAGCCAAGAATATCCCTTTCTCCAGGACAGAGCCAATGTTACAAGTACCCTCAGATCTCTAGCATCCAGGACACCTATGTTTTTCAGAATTTAGCAGCAATATTGAACCCTGTCTTTTTCTTGTTACGTCATTTTTTAAAAATACCAGTTTGTCTAATGGATATGTAAATTTTACTCAATCTAATACTACTTTTGAATAGAATGTTACTTGTGTCAATTGTACTCTCAAACAATGTATTGATAATAATGAATATATTGTACTTTTGGTAGAACAATCATCATTTGCTATTTTCCCTACTAATGTCTCACATGAATAGTTCAAGAACTTTGGTTAACATGCTCCTCAAACTATTACTTCCTCCTTAAGTCAATCAAAACAATTTATTGGTTTCCTTGTTACTGGTTTAATCATTGTTGCTTCTCTTATTGTATCTACTACTGTTTCATCTATTGTGCTACAATCTGAAATTTAAACCTCACACTTTGTAAATGACTTAGCAAAAAAAACCATAAGCTTAGCACTTAAAACACAAGAAGCTATTGGTAGAGATATATTATATAAAGTCAATTTATTAGAGCGATCAGTATTGTGTTTAGGAGATGAATTAGAAACCTTGAAAGCAAGGTTGCTATTGCAATGTGATTATAGATATTGATATATTTACGTTACCCTGCTACCCTATAATGTTTCAGATCCTAATATTTCATGGGTTAAGATGTGTGCTTGCCTACCGGGGGCCTGGCACTATTCTAATATTACCCTCAATATTAATACTCTTCATGATATTACTTCCAACATTGAAAATAGTCCCCGTTTTGGGATTTACCCCAATAAAGTAGCTAATATTATCCTGTTGCTCCAACTTAATTTAACAAACAAAAAAAGGGGGAAATATTGAGGGCCAGTCTGTGGAGTCAGAAGATTCAGGCCAGCCCAGGTTTTCCCTGTAGATTGTCCTCTATCCAATGGCTATGTGAACTCAGGATGTTGGCTCACCACTCCTCTGTTCTGTCTCTTGAGAACAGGATGACCCTGGAGATTACAAGGAAGCGAGGAAACGGTTTGTTACTTTGGGTGATATTCCCATGAGAAATATACTTGTTGTTACTTTGGGTGAAGATAGATAAACCCTTACCCTCAGATTAATAAATGGAGTTTGTTCTTCACATCTCCCCCCTGGCCCATGTGATTCTTTCTCTCCTCACACTCAATCGGCATTAGATTAGACCATGGCCACGGACGTAGGCGCCCACGGCTTGGGCTATTGGCAGAAGCAGGCACTGTGGAGTGCTTAGAGATTGGTCAGATATTGAAGATTCTAAGGTCATCCACTGCATCCTGGGCCATCACCAGTTGTCTTAACTTTTGTCTTGTCACTGGACTTTCATGACTCTGGAAGAGAGAGTGAGCTGATAACTTTGTTTAACTCTGCCTCGTTTAAATCCAATTTATGCCTGAGTCAAAAGACATCACCCATATCATTTTGCTATTATACTATTTCATTGTTTTACTGTTCAACTATTTTATTATTTTACTATATTACTATTTTACCTACTATTTACCTGTGGCAACAGGCAAATGATGAAACAGCAGGTGTGGAAACACCGAGAGATGTAGTCACCACCCTGTACAAGGGAGGCTTAAGCCATAGGATTGTCTTCTCACTGGACTGAAGCAGTAATAGGATTTGGCAGCCTCCTGGGTGTCTCTGGAGCCTTTTTGAAGGACCTCACTGCTTACCTCCTGGCATGAGGAATGGGCTAAAAATGGTGCCCTAAATGTTGTCTGTTTCACCTAACCTTGGCCTATCCTACCCTGCAGTTGAAGGTACGCACACAAATATACAAAAACTTTTGCAAAGATGATTCTACTCACCTCTGGTTCATGAAATGTATACATACTTATAGACAACACAAAATCCAGTAGACATGAAAGATGAATAGCTCTTGCTGCAAGAGAACTCTGCAAGTATCACATTCAAATGGCAACCCTGAGTGAAGCAAGGCTGGCAAATGAAGGCCGACTTACTGAAGTCAAAGCTGGATACTTTTTTCTGGAGTGGCTGCAGTGAAGAGGTGCTCCATGAAGCTGGTGTAGGTTTTGCAACCAAATCTAATCTAGTCAACAAGCTTGAATGCTTCCCCAAAGGAATAAATGACAGGCTCGTGGCTATGTAATTGCCCCTTGAAGAAAAGTGCCATGCCACCATCATCAGTGCATATGCTCCCACCATGATGAACTCTGTTTATGTCAAAGAAAAATTTTATAAAGACTCTCATTATCCATGTGCCAAAAGTGGACAAGCATATAATTACGGGTGACTTTAATGCAAGAGTAGGCACAGACTATCAGATGTGTCAGGGGAGTCCTTGGGAGGAATGGAATCAGAAATATCAACAGTCACTTACTACTGAAGACTTATGCATCTTATGACTTTCTCATCATCAACAATGTCTACTGTTTACCAAAATGCAATAAAACTTCTTGGATGCATCCTCGTAGCAAACATTGGCACTCAACAGACTGTCATTGTAAGGAAAAGAGACAGACAGGATGTGAGTGTAATGATTGAGATATGTGGTGCAGAGTGCTGTACTGATCATAGACTTATCCTCTCCAAGCTCAGCATTCTCATTCAACAAAAGCAGTGACCCCAAGGCAAGATGACTATCAGGAGACTCAACATCAACAGGTTAGAGTCTTTCTCTGTGGGTGAACAATTTCTTTCTGACTTGGAGGGAAAGCTGAGTCATCACACGATTGGCAACAGTGGAGCAGAAAAAGAGTGGGCAGTTTTCAGAGATTTTTGTGTAGAGCACTGCATTTACTCATCTTGGCCAGAACACTTGCAAACATCAGGATTAATTTGATGAAAATGATGGGGAAATTCAGAAGCTTTTAAATGAAAATTCAGAACTCTGTAGGGTTTACCAGCAAGATAATTCAACCCTTTCTAAGAAGGCAGTGTTTAACTCCATCAGAAGCAAAGTGCAAGCAAAGCTTAGAGAGATGCAGGATTCTTGGCTCTGTAAGAGGGCAGATGAGATTCAGTTTTATGCTGATAGTAACAATCCAAGTGCTTCTATGATGTCCTGAAGGCTATTTACAGACTGAAGACCTTTGGTGCATCTCAACTATGCTAGTGAGATGGGCTGAACACTTCCATAGTGTTCTCAACAGACTGTCATCAACCAATGCTGAAGCCATTGACCATATACCTCAGGTTGAAGTAGATCCATACTCTTTTGCATATCAGCGTCAGAGGCAGCATTGAGTGCACAGTCATCCAGGAATAAAAGTCAGGCATCCCTCCACTTTAGTCTTGGCTTGTGGCCTTTTCAAGTTAAGTAATTCACTGCCATTGTGGTAGTTATTCTTTTTTTCTAAATTTTCTTTATACTATTTTAATTTTTCCAATTACAGGTAAAGATAGTTTTCAGCATTCATTTTTTTAATAAGATTTTGAGTTCCAAATTTATCTCCCTCTCTCCCCTCACTCCTCTCCAAGATGGCAAGAAAACTGACATGTACAATCATGTTAAACATATTTCCACATTAGTCATGTTGTGAAAGAAGAATCAGAACAAAAGGGAAAAATCACAAGAAAGAAAAAAAATGAAACAAAGTGAAAATAGTATGCTTCGATCTTCATTCAGACTCCATAGTTCTTTCTCTGGATGTGGATAGCATTTTCCATCATGAGTCTTTCGGAATTGTCTTGGATCATTGTATTGCTGAGAAGAGCTAAGTCATTCATAGTTGATGATCATACAATGTTGCTGTTACTGTGTACAACAATCTCCTGGTTATGCTCACTTCACTCAACATCAGTTCATGTAAATCTTTCTAGTTTTTTTCTGAAATCTGCCTGCTCTTCATTTCTTATAGCACAATAGTATCCCATTTACCTTCATATACCACAGCTTGTTCAGCCATTCCCCAATGATGGACATTCCCTCAATTTCCAATTCTTTGCCACCACAGAAGAGCTGCTTTAAATGTTTTTGTACAAGTAGGTGCTTTTTTCCTTTTTTATGATCTCTTTGGGATACAGACTTAGTAGTAGTATTGCTGGATCAAAGAGTATGTACAGTTTTATAGCCCTTTGAGCATAGCTCCAAGCTGCTGTCCAAAATGAGTTCACAACTCCACCAACAATGTATTAGTGTCCTAATTTTTCTACATCTTCTCCAACATTTATAATTTTCCTTTTCTGTTATACTAGCCAATCTCATAGGTGTGAGGTAGTACCTCAGAATAAAACATTTTCTTAGATCAGATTAATCCACTTACTTGGATCCATTTAACCCACTTGATTAGATTTTTTTTTTCATCATTACATCAAAGTCAATTTATACCCACCCCCTTTATGTATACCCCTTTAACGTGGTGCAATAACATACAGTTCTCAAGGGTTATAAGTGTCATCTTTCCTTGTAGGAATGTAAACAGTTTGCCCTTATTAATAACATGTTGTTTCTTTCTGTCCCATTTACCTTTTCATGTCTCTCTTGAGTCTTGTATTTGAAGATCAAATTTTCTGTTGAGCTCTAGTCTTTTTATCAGGAAGGTTTGGAAGTCCTCTATTTCGGTGAATATCCATCCATCTCCTCCCCTGAAAGATCATGCTCATTTTCCCTGGGTGTGGTAGTTGTTCTTGATGCCATCTTAATTCTCATTGAAGGTGTCTGACAACATCACTGAAAACATGATGCTAAAAAGCATGGGAGCAAGCACACAGCCCTGCTTCACTCCGTTGGTGATGGGAAAGTGTTGAAATGGAATCAGCAGCAGGAGCTTTGCCATACAAGAGGAGCTTAATGGCGTTCAGAACCTCTTTTTCCGTTGAAAGTTTGGTTAGAGAAGGTCAATGTAGAGTGTGTCTGATTATGGTAGATCAGACCAATACAAGCTCACAAAGCTCTACCATAGATTGGGCACAAATAGTCCATATGAACGTTTGGAATGGAAATATCGCTAAATTTTCACATTTCTTTTGAGCTACTTCAATTCTGCATCTTCAATTCTGGGTGTGTGGCATAAACCAAGGTAAGCCATTGACCCATTTATTGACAGCTATATGTGTCACAGGGGCAGCTAGGTTGTGTACTGGATAGCTGGCTGGACCTGGAGTCAGGAAGACCTGGGTTCAAATCTGGCCTCAGTCACTTACTAGCTGTG